TGTAATTTCGAGTGCAATCTCGAAAATGATTTTTGAAAGAGAATGATGGAAGAATTTTTTTGTTTCGAAATTATATGTAAATAAGATTATTTGATAATATCAATAGCTTGGAGAAAAAGAATATTTTTATATATACTTTTATAATAGGTAAAATGATCAATTTTGAGAAAAATTTATTTTAAGGATATATTAAAAGAAATATCTACAGATATTGGATGATCAATTACTAATTGAATATTAATAACGTAAAAAAAGAAGACACGACAGGCTTTCTAGCTATATAAGACGAAAAATATCCTTATTATTTTACATTTGAGTGTTATTAACGATTTAAGCGTTTAAGACGAAGAAATTCCTTTTAAAATTCTGGATCCATTTATCTCGATATAAGAAGCAGAAGGAATTTAAATAGTTCGCTTTCTGGAAATTAAACTCCATCAAAAGATTAATATTTAATTTCACGTATTTCCTTTTAAAACACGATAAACGAAGAAGAAGAAAAAAAAAATCTCCTTCTCATAATTTAATTTTCGAAACACGAATCGTTGGAAAACTGCTTCTTGCATCTAAATTAAATTTCGATACATTTCTTCAATAGTCATAAATCATTCCAAGCAATTTCCAAGTCCAAATTAATTCTCATCCCGGTTCGTAAATTACACCTGCAGTTTACAACCCATTCAAAAACATCCCACAACTAACTTCCACACTCTATCTCCAATTGTAAGTCTTACGAACTATTCAAAAACACATCCAGTCTCCCAAATTAAATTTAATTGTCGTAATCATTTCTACTTCAAATCTCCTAGTTACTCTTTGACACATTAGTTTCGTATCCTTAAAAAAAAAAACCATTTATATAGTTATATGAATTATATACCATTGTTATAAAAATTGTTTTAAAAATTACCAAAATTCTTTTTGAAGATTAACAAAAAAAAACTAGCATATTGAATGTTGCACATGTGCCTAAAGAAATCTATATATGTAAAATATATATAATGTTACTTGTTTAATAAAGTAATACTTGTTTATAATATTTAATAAATTACAATATTTTTCATAGAACCACCAATTTATATTTATTACTTAAACTTATTCTAAATGAATAAGTAATTAAAATAACTACTAAAATACTACATTTTACCAAAAGCACACAATTAATTTTTACAACTAAATTTGATTTGATTCTGATGTTAAATAAAAACTTATATATATATATATATATTCACCTCGATCTCGATCCTCGGATAAAAAATCTACAGTGTTTTCATGGAGGATGAAAAAGTAAATCAATTTTCGAGGCTCACCTCTATGATGCTGATGCAAATCATGAGATAGGGCGGTCGTATCCGGAAGTTGGGCTTCCTGGGCGGTAGTGGATGCCTGGGTGTCGGTCTAGGCGTGACCTCGTCATCCTTTGTTTTCTTGTAGGACGACGAGGTGACGATGGGCGATTCCGGGGAATAGGGCGAGCCCGGGCCCGAATACGTGGTGTCGGTGCAATCCGACGAGATCGTCGACAGTGTTGGAGAGTTCTCCAGCAGCGCTGCCTCAACGTCCATGATGGCCTGTCTGTAAAAAGGGAAAAATTCGAATTCTGGGTTAGGAGAGAGTTTCGCCATAATAAAATCCCCCCGTTCGAGAATATTAATTTTCCGGATAAATCAATATTTCTATTTCCGCTTGTCGAATATTTTGAACATGGCGTGTTATAGATAATTACGGGAAGTTGGAGAATTATTTCTGAAAATTATTTGATCGACTGTGATATCGGAGAATAATTTATTTTTCTTTTTTTAAGAGTTTGTTGAAATAATCGTTACTTCGTAAAATAATAATTGTTTTATAAATAAATATCCTCGTATCTTTATTCTTCCTTTTTCCGAACATCCATAGAGTTTTCTGATCCTAATTTCAATTTAATCCAAAGCTTTCTCACGTAAAATTTTTTACACTGCCGGAAATTTCACAACCTTTGTTTGCACATAATTCCATTTTAAATTAACTAACTCGACGAGAGGAAGGAGAAGCAGATGTTGGGAGGGAAAAAAAAAAAAAAAAAACTTCAAATCG